TCTGCCTCAGGCTCTGCTGGAGTCTGGGTTTGTTAAAAACATTTGATCATCTAACCAGATAAATGTGTGTGTGTGTTGGGTAAGAAAAGCCCATGACATCAAGAGTTGTCAGGAAGCAGATGGATCTCATTCAGTGTCAGGTTATAGTGGGTTTCTCTCTCTCACCCGCGCGCGCGCACACACACACACACACACACAAACTGCTCTGATTCAATCATCTACTCAGCAGTTTCCTTATCAGACATTCTGACCTACAGTAAAACTGTGACTGCAGGGAAAGATGTGTTTTGTTTAAAGGAGTATTACTGGAGTTTAACCCTAATCCCAAGTTGGAAACTCAGAATTGCTAGTCAGAAGAGTTGTGAGAAATAAAGTCATGGAACTTTTTTTCCTGGAACATTTTAGGTCGACTAACTTTTAAAACTCGGACTTTCACGAAATAAAAGTTGTTAACTCGGAATTGTGAGTCAGAATCCCAAGTTAGAAAACTCTGAATTGTAACTCACAATCCCAAGTTGGAAAGTCTGAATTGCGAGTCAGAATTCCAAGTCGGAAACATGGAATTGCATGAAATAAAAATTGGTAACTTGGAATTTCAAGTCAGAATCCCAAGTTGGAAACTCAGAATAGGTGGTTTGCAGTCATGTGATTGTATTGACGCGCGTAATGCAGGTGGAGGGCAAGGAGTGAAGAGCACAATGGACAAGATGGAGGAAAATCGTACTGTACTACTTTGACGCTATTACAAGAGACATTTATAAACAGAAAATCGAAACATATGTTGGACGTGATCCTTACGTTATGAAGAGGACCGATTTTCAACTGAATTGAGAGATTTGCCTGCCATCGAGGCTGTAGATATCAGCAACTAACTCGTCTTACAGACATACTTTGACTTTACAAAGTTCGGAAACTGGTACGTTACACAAACAGCCACATAAGTGTATTTAAACACCTGAATAATGTCATTATAAGCCACATAAATAATGTATTAACTCACATTTGATGAAGTGATCACTGCACACACACACACAGGCATTTTCCCATTCGGCTCCTCGCGACTGCAGATGTAGGTTTGCAAGGCATTTTTCCCGGAAACATGGAATTGCATAAAATAAAAGTTAGTAACTTGGAATTGCAAGTCAGAATCCCAAGTTGGAAACTCAGAATTGCGAGTCAGAAGAGTTGTGAGAAATAAAGTCATGGAATTTTTTTCCTGAAACATTTTAGGTCAACTAACGTTTTTAATTCGGAATTGCATTAAAAAAAGTTGTTAACTCGGAATTGCAAGTCGGAATCCCAAGTTAGAAAACTCTGAATTGCAAGTCAGAATCCCAAGTTGGAAACTTCGAATTGCTAGTCAGAAGAGTTGTAAGAAATAAAGTCATGGAACTTTTTTCCTGAAACATTTTAGGTCGACTAACTTTTAAAACTCGGACTTTCACGAAATAAAAGTTGGAAACTTGGAATTGCAAGTCGGAATCCCAAGTTAGAAAACTCTGAATTGCAAGTCAGAATCCCAAGTTGGAAACTTGGAATTGCGAGTCAGAAGAGTTGTAAGAAATAAAGTCATGGAACTTTTTTTCCAGAAAGATTTTTGGTCAAACTCTGAATTGTAACTCGCAATCCCAAGTTGGAAACTCTGAATTGCGAGTCAGAATTCCAAGTCGGAAACTTGGAATTGCTATAAATAAAAGTTGGTAACTCAAAATTGCAAGTCGGAAGTGTTGTGAGAATTTACATCATGGAACTTTTTTCCTAAAAAATTTTGTCAACGAACTTTTTGAAATTTGGAAATGCAAGTTTCTGACATGGAATTCAGGCTGGCAATTCCAAAATATAAAGTCTGAGTTCTGAAATTAGTAACATTCAAAAAGTTTCAGAAACAAGTTCCCTGGCTTTTTTTTTTAGCAACTCAGTTTCCGACTCTTTTCTGACTTGCTATTACTATTAATGAAGTCTGAATTCCAAGTTATAAATAGCAAGAAATAAAGTCAATTTGAAAAGTCAAATGAAATTGCGAATAATAAAGTGAGAATTGCGAGATAAAGTTCTAAACTAAGAATTGAGAAATAAAGTCAGGATTATGAGAAATGTTTCAGAATTGTGAGTGAGGGTTGTGACGCTTCCATACAGATCCGCATCGCAGGAGGTTTTCCAGACGTCTCCCTCATTCTCGCTCAGGAATCCGTTTCACTGATATGGAATTTGCCATTTGTAAAACTCAAGTCAATCTCTTAAAACTGTCACATTAAAAACAGCTGAACAGCGTCACATGACTCACATCACAGAACTCCTGACCGGAGATGGAGATTAGCGGATCTGTTGATCTCTTCATAATCCAGAGACACAACACACACTCCTGGACGGAGAGTCTGAATCTCCACGTTTCTGAAGGAAAGCCATCTGCGATCATATTCTGAATCTCACACACACACACATCAGGAGCATCAATATCTGAGGCTGGATTACAGCGTCTGCTGAATTATTGATCAGTTATAATAACATCGCAGAAATGGAGTCCTTCAGCTCCTCTGGAACATCATGTTTATCAGTATAACGCATCATCGTTTTACAGAACAAACACTCTTAAATCAAGATACATTTACTCTTCTGAGAAACACACACACACACCTCAACTAAACACCTGCAACAACTACAAGAAATGACGTTTTATGCTCATTTTATTGAAAAATATCTGTGCACATGACTGTTAGTGTACATTCATAAGTGTGTGACTGAGAAAAATAACATTCACTCACACACACACACACAGTTTGCTCATGGTCAGGGTTCATGTTTTAGCTGAACACAGTTCATTACAGTGGATCTACAGGCTTCTCTTTTGTAAACAGTAATGAAACACTATAAAGCATGACGATATTAAATCTGTCCTGTAACATTCACGATCAACAGACCTGGACCTCCAGAACCTCTCGTCTTCCAGCACTCTCAAATCAACACATTTACTGGAGAAGAGCCAACAACACTGGACATATGAAGACTTGTTTATATGTCAAATAAAAAAGTTCAAAGGAAAACAAGTTTAACGTTCGAACCCACGGGCAGATATCGGCTCTCGTTTTGAGCTCAACATGTTTTTACATCTTCAGTGTTGTTTCTCTTGATCTGAGAGTGCTGGAAGACGAGACAGACACACTGAGGAAGAACATCATTATAAATCTTGCAGTAAACAAACCTCAGTTTATTCATGAAACAGAAACACACACACACACACGACTCTATAAAGGAATAAATAAGTGCATTATAAAAGAGTTATGATCCGGTGTGTGAAGAGACTGCAGGAGTCCCGCCCCGTTGTCAAGAGGTCAAGGGTCATGTGCTGTCACTCCTGTCGGGGAGAGGTCAAGGGTCATGTCCAGTCGGCGAGAGGTCAAGGGTCATGTGCTGTCGCTCCTGTCGGGGAGAGGTCAAGGGTCATGTCCAGTCGGCGAGAGGTCAAGGGTCATGTGCTGTCGCTCCTGTCGGGGAGAGGTCAAGGGTCATGTCCGGTCAGCGAGAGAACAAGGGTCACCTGCAGTCGCTCCACTGGCACACGGTGAGGTTTGGCAGAGTTCTGGGATATTGCACTCAGTGTAAAGGCCGATCAGTTACTGAGGGAGTAAGGCCTCGCCTGTGGAATCTCTCCGGCAGGACTGATGATGATGATGATGATGATGATGATGATGATGGCAGTCCACAGAGATAACCTTTTTTGTCGTTAAATGTTTTTTAAATGATACTTCATGTTTCAGAAGATCCGGATAACATTCAAAATTAATGTTCCAGTAATGTTTGATATAATGTTCCCTTAACCAAGAGCAACACTCGTTTCACAGAACGTTCAGGAATAACCTGCGTCTCCATGGGAAAGGGGTCAGAACGCTCCCAGAACATCTTTCGGAAAACTAGATAACATTTGACTCATGATTGAGTTTGATTAAAACACTGATCGGATTCTTTCACCTTCTGGTGCTATTGCTCTTTTTGGACCAAATGTTATTTATTTTTCTTCATGGGAATGGTACGAAACGAAAAGGTTTTGGCACATAAAAAAAATCATGGACGTTTCGGAAAGGTTCAATGATCCAGAAACAACAGACACACTCGCGGTCAGAAATGAGGCATTATAAACGACTGTAGAGTAGAGGAACTGCAGCCGAACACACACTCACTGAACGCTCGTTACTGAGATCAGCTCACATGTGGACACACACTCGTTTACATTTATGATTTCGATTTTCTTACACTTTCAGAGTAAAAAGGGATTTTCACAACAATAAACTTACAATTCTGTAACTTTTGTTTATAAGTTCACTTTTGATAATCAATAAAGTGTCGTGTTTGAAAAGCGTTCAGAAATCAGGAAATAACTTCAGTCCGTTCGAGATTCTCCACCGTTTAGGCTTCAGGTCTGTGCTCAAAACGGGATTATAAATACAGCGCAAATATAACGTAGTATAAAAAAATACCCTAAAAATACAAAATATGAAATAAAAAACATTATCAAACTACAAAATAGTACATTAATTTAATTGAAATAAAAAATAACCAGGCAAAGAGCATTCGAGCTAAATAGAGCCAGAATAGAGTTCAAACGCTGTTTTCTGTAATTATCACTTCTGACTCATTAAAGGACAGTAAAGTAAAATAACACACTTTGGTCGGTGACAGCAGAATAGAAATATTTATAATTCTGCTTACAGATGTTCGTTAGAGACACAACATTCACCTCTGACTACATTATTTCCATCATTTAATAATAATAATTATTATTATTATTATACACATGGAAGGTTCCAACTTTGGTGCTGAATTAAATCTGTTTTGATCACGTGACATGGGCGCGGTTACGAGCTCTGAGATACTGTTACACCCCTAATAATATAATATCATATATCTATATTTTATATGGAGTGAGTCTGTATGGTGTAAATCTAATCACGCAACTTTCACTGTTTACATCATTTTGAATTCAGATGTATTACTGAGTGGATTGAGGAGTGTGTGTTCGGGCTGCTGTGTGTGTGTGTGCGCCGGAAGTGTTGAACGTCATCTGCACTGTTTTCCAGCAACACCTGAACATTCATAACTCCAGATATATCTCCTGGAGAAGAAGCAAAATGACTGAAGATATTCACTCTTGTTTCATGAAGAATATTGTCTTTCATTTTTGTTCTTGTTTTAAGCAAAAAATACATTGTTCAATATTTCCATAAAACTAAGCTGAAGTCAAGATATGAATATATATGACATGAATATCTGAAGTCATTTTGCGTCTGCACTCGGACAGCAGCGCAGCGTCGGCCCAGATCCGGCCCAGATGTCCCAGCGATGTTTCGCTACAGGCAGGCAGATGATGGTGTTTTTCACCGCTTGCACCTTCGACCCTGTTTCAGAGTGTGTGTTCTCATCCTCAGACTGATAAACGGCCGGAACACATTTGATTTCTGTGTTCAGTTGTTAGTTAATCGCTAATGATCTTCACAACGGAAGTGAATCAATCAAAACTAACTTTATCTGGACAATAACTCTATTCTAGATCTGCTGTGAAGCCCAAACACTCTGTAATCTCCTGTCTGTAAAGCGCTGTATAGATGAGGAGACTGGACCGGAAGTGTCCGACGCGCTGCTGCTGAGTTCAGGCACTCTCTGACTATCATCATCATCATCATCATCATCATCATACTAAGAGCTGCACGCATGATAAGTGCGCGCCACTCATCGGGTCACGTGTCAACAACTGTAAGCATTTCATACACATGTCCAGGAACGGTATGCAGCGCGTTCACATTCCAGCGTCAGTGCGCGCGCTCTCGGTCAGTGAATCCCATTCTGCGAGAACGCGCCGTCCGCCTCGCGCTCCACATCGCACGCGTCGTCCTCGTCATCCCCGTGCGAAAGCTGCGAGATCCGGTCGAACGCGTCCACGGCGTTCGGGATGATGTTGACGTACGCTCCCGCGACCTCCTTGTGGAACAGCGTGTCCTGGTTGTAGGACACGAGCTCGTTGCTGATGTTGACCGTGTCCACGGGGGTCCGGCACCGGTTCCGGCAGCCCAGCAGGCTCGAGAAGCTCTTGCGGAACTCCGCGTTGAACGCGTAGATCACGGGGTTCAGCGACGAGTTGGTCCAGCCGAACCACACGAACACGTCGAAGGTGGTGTCGCTGACGCACGGCGGGGCCGCGGACGGTTCGCGGGGGCAGAACGGAACCACGCAGTTCAGCACGAAGAACGGCAGCCAGCAGAACACGAACACGCCCATGATCACGGACAGAGTCTTCAGAACTTTAGTCTCGCGGTTGAAGTTCGTCTTCAGGCTGCTGTGTGAATGGTGATGGTGATGATGAAGGTGATGGTGGTGATGGTGGTGGTGGCGCGCGAGCCGGTTCGCACGGCTGTTTTGCGCTTGCGCTGCCGCGCGCTTCAGTGAAGCTATCCTCCGAATCTGGATGTGCGCGATCCGGTAGATCCGCGTGTACGTGACGATCATGATGGCCACGGGGATGTAGAAGCTGATGAGGGATGAGGAGATCGCGTACTCCAGGCTCAGACTCGAGTCGCAGGTGTCTTTGGTGGCGTGCGCGTCGGTGGCGTTGGACCCGGGCTCCGCGGAGGCTTTGTGCCAGTCGAGCTGCACCGGGATGAAGGAGATGAGCACCGACAGGGTCCACAACGCGCCGATCATCACGCACGCCACGCGCGGGGTCATCTTGCGCTCGTAGCGGAACGGGCTGCTGATGGCCCAGTACCGGTCCACGCTGATCACGCACAGGTTCAGGATGGACGCGGTGGAGCACATGATGTCGAACGCCACCCAGATGTCGCAGAACGCACCGAACGGCCAGAACCCGGTGACCTCCGTGACCGCCTTCCACGGCATCACGAGCACGGCCACGAGCAGGTCCGAGACGGCCAGCGACACGATGAAGATGTTCGTGACTTTCGCGCGCAGGTGTCGGAACCGCAGCACGGCCGCGCACACCAGAATATTCCCGAACAGAGTCCAGAGGATCAGAACGCTCAGCACGGTCCCGGTGAGCGCGCGCGCCAGCAGCTCCCGCGGCTCCGGCTCGGTTCGGTTGGGCATGTTAAGTCCCGGGCGCGCTCACGGGTCGCCATCGGGGGTGTGTGCGAGCGCGCGCGTCTCCGGTGCTGGTGTGTCCCGCATTACGGACGCGCTCGATCAAACTGGCAATCCGACACTGAGCGGGTCCAGATGATCTGAGCGATAGAGAACTGTGCACTGCTATTTTGAGCGAGCGAGCGAGCGAGAGAGAGAGAGAGAGAGAGAGAGAGAGAGAGAGAGAGAGAGAGAGAGAGATTTCACTCACACACACTGAATTCTAAACTGTTCATAGAATTCTTAAATGTTGATTAGTTGTTCTACTTACCTTATTATTATTATTATTTTTATTTGGATCTAGCCCTATGTATATATTCATGTATGATGCTTACAAATGCTTTAATACATTGAAACATTTAAAGCACATTTTTAATTGAGAGAGAGAGAATGAATAAAATGTGTTAAAAAAAATAAAATAATCACGGCGTTTTATTTAGTCCAATAGAACACAATTCAATAATTCTCTCTCCTTTTCCATTTTGGCTTTTGTATTTCAGCAGATTTCTCTTAGGCTATATTTATCTATGAAATATAATGCAGACGAGATGCATGCAGTTCTTTCACAATCATATTGTGGGATATTTTTATTGTCGGGTACAATGCAAGAAAAATGTCAAACCGCAAAAACAAGTGTGCGAAGTGACGTCATGGCGTTATAAGCATTAACAGCGTTCATATGTTCCAGAAATAGAGAGACTGATTCTCTCATATTGACTGCGCGCGCACGCGAGTTTTGCTTTGAAGATTCGTTCAAATCAGCGCAACTTATGACGCGGACACGAGCATAAGCATGTTCACACGTTTGTGACACTATTTATTTAAATTTAAGTTATAATTTTACAATATTTTTTATTTTATTTTGATGTTGTTTTTATTATTATTCTATGAAATTGCAAGCTTTGGCTATATTGTTATATGTATTACCATATTATGTATTATTTAACAGTCAGGCAAACAAAGCAATTATAAATTGAATTTTAAAATGTCATAAGTGTGTCTGCAGCGCCACCTACAGGCGTGCACGCGCATCGTCAGGCTGTGCTCGTGCTTGGCAGAACAGGTCAGGATTCGACAGGTGTGTGTGTGTGTGTGTGTGACGCGGAGGAACTTCTCTGTGGGATGTCAGAAGCCTCAGGTGTCGCAGCTCGAGAGGTGAAGCTGCAGTCCGACATGAGCCGGAACACACGTCAGCCAGAGGGGATTGTGGGATCGCATGCGGAACGAGAGCTTGACCTGTCAGTCACACTGAGACGCACAGCTGTGTTTCACCCCGCAGCCACACACACACACACACAAACACACTGACCTGATCTTCTCTAGTCCTCACTGTTGACGAACTCAAGTCGCTTTTGGTCAAATCATCTGAAATCTCCATATCTCCATATCTCCAAATCTTCAGTCATATTCTGTAATGTATATAATTATGTAACTTGATTAAACTCCCTGCTGCTCTTCAAATGACCAATTTCTTATTTATTTATTTATTTATTCAATTAAATGAATGTTCTATATTTCAGTTTGAAAATGTTTATGTATACATATATAGCTATTATGTATTTTTAGGGGATTTTATTTATTTTTATGAATCCATTTATTCACGTTTTGAGGATAGACCTGAATCTGAACTGTCCAGCTTAAACTGTGGAGAACACTTTACAGGACAGACTGAAGTTTGATCTCTTCTCAGAGAAGACTCTCGGCAGATTATTGATGAAGGAAAAAACGTACAGAATTTTACGTGTTTTGTTATGAAAAATGCACAAAAATGCTATTTTTTTATGCTATAAAAAAGCTGGCTACTTATTTTTTAACCCTTGAATAGTTCAATATCTCTAACTTTATATCTGTGACTTTAGCTCCCAATTTGTGTATTATAAAGTCAGAATTTCAAGTAGCCTCGCAATTGCTAGTTTATATCTCATAATTCTGACTTAATAACGCGCAATTGCGACTTTATATCACGCAAATCTGACTTGATAACCTGCAACAAAAAAAAAGTCGCAATTACCTTTTTTATTTCTCACTCCGTGGTGTAAACAAGCTTCCAGACATGTCTCACTGAACGGCAAATTAAGAGGAACATGTAGGCTTTTATTTAGTTTTTTTTCCTACATCTGACGAGATTTATTTTCCTGATGCTGTTATTATTTTAGCATTTTCCTTTGGATGTTTACTGGTATTTTAAGGTTGTACCTTTAAAATTACAGAGACAATTAGACTACTTTGACATTTTTTGCTTCCAAACAACAGCAAATATGAATAAAATAAAATTGCTTTATTTTAAAATGTTCTATATACACAAATTAAAAAAATACTTGCGGTGCACATGCTATTAATCTATCAAATGATTTAAAATGTAAAATAACTTTGCATGTAGCCTATGTAGAGTGAATCACGGATAAGCATCCCATTTATGTAAATAATTACTTATTCATCAATAATTACTTATAATTATTTAACAGTACTACACAGGTTTGAACATCATCTCAGTTCAATATTGAGCTTACATATCAATTAAGATCAATGCATGCGAATTATAATCAGAGATCGGCACTGCGCATGCGTATATGATGTCACCAAAACATACCTCCATCCACTACGTATTGGACCATCCAGCTACGTCATCATCGGCTGCGGCGAGGACCTCTTGGAGAAATGACCGAGCAGCACCAGCGGTTGAGGGATGTTTATTTTAACATGTTGTGTCGCATCAAACCTGTTTGTGGAACATTAAAGTCAACGGGGTCCAATCGGCTCCACATTCTTCAAAATATCTTCATTTACTTAAAACAGACAGTCAGTCAAATAGAAACAACACGAGACATTATAAATGATAGTTAAACTGACCTGTAATTTCCCAGCAGATTCTCATCTTGAAGAAGCAGACGGCCACGGGACTGAGTCTCCACACACACACACACACACACACACACACACACACTCAATCTGATGCTTTAATAACTCGCAGTCTGAATAAATGTTTAGATTTGACTTCATTATGGAGATTCAAAGATCTGAAAGCGGACGATCCCGGGAATAATCACAATCTCTGGAGTGTTTAAACACACACTCACAAAACACATGGTGTGCTTTAACACACACACACACACACACACACTTTAGCTCAGTCATACGCCGTGAAGGAAAGATCAGGTAAAGCCACAGTTTACATCGTAGAATATCAGATTTATTTGAAGTTTACACACATTTACTGATTTGAAAGTGCATAAAGATCTTGTTGTGCTAAACGTGTGCGTGTGTGTGTTTGGAGACGTTTAAAACAAGAAAATAGGTTGATATATCTTTTACTGTCTGCTGATCATCAACAGTGAAACACACACTCACTCACACACACACACTCACACACACACACACACACACACACACACACACACACACACACACACACACACACACACACACACACACACCTGACTGAAAGAGTGTTTTCACATAGTTTCTGCTCAGACTGAAGAACAACTTCCAACTGAGAACTTTCCATAAGAGAATATCTGTAAACTGAACATCATTTAGCTGTGTGTGTGTGTGTGTGTGTGTGTGAGAGAGAGAGAGAGAGAGAGAGAGAGAGTTTGAGCATCTGGACTTCAACAATCCTCCTCCTGCAAAACCATGAATAATATAATCATCCCAGAATCCCAGCAGAACTTCCCATTAAATCCACAAAGACTCGAATAAAACCTCATTTCTCTCCGTCGGTCTCAGCAGTCAAACACATCTCACACACACACACACACATCTTCACACCAACACATCTTGACACACACACACACACACACACGAGTGTGAGAACCAACAGTAATGCAGACGATACACATGTATAGCAGGTTTCGGGGCGTGGGCGATTCAATACACGTCCGTTCCCACGACACACACACACACCTTTCCCACATGACATCGCCTGAAGAAATGATGAAACATGACGAGGTAAACTCCGTCTCAGTCTGGGATGTGATTGGCGTGTCACTGGTCATGTGATTGGCGTGTCACTGGTCATGTGATTGGCGTGTGAATGTTTTTATGCTACGAACTACGAAAAACATTAAAGATAAAGTACAATATGCACCAGATTTGAGGTCGATGGCCTGATAGATTCAAGGGTGTCCGGCGGGACAGTGTGCGGAGAACATCCGGATCAAATCCCTCCGAGAACTGGATATAAGAGTGTTGGACTGAAGACGTGTAAACATTGAGGAGTGTGTGAGAATCTTCAGGCCTGAGAACGTCTAGAGCCAATCAAATCCATGAGAACTTGATCAGATCCACACACACGATCTCTCATAATGAACGCAGACTGATGGTGTGTGCGCGTGTGTGCGTGTGTGTGTGTGTGTGTGTACAGTGTTTGAGCACCAGATAAAGTTCCCGCTCTGAGTCGTTACATGGTCGGATGGTTCCCGCTCTGACTGGTCACATGACTGGCCCTCAGACCTTCCTGAAGACCTCGAAGAGTGAGGCCACAGAGTGCATGCGGTAGAAGAGGCTCATGGGAATGGCCACATTCAGAACCGTGGTCCACGCGCTGAACCCGAAGGTCTCGGTCTCCAGAACACTGTCGTACTGGGGCCGGCAGCCGAAGGCCGGGAGGATCCACAGCTGAAGCAGAGACAAAACCACAGATCAGACCTGCATCCACATTTACTGACCGCTCAGACACCTCAGAGCTTCTCTCAACACGCTTAGCAGAACACGCTTGGCAGAACACGCTTAGCAGAACACGCTTAGCAGAACACGCTTAGCAGAACATGCTTAGCAGAACACGCTTAGCAGAACAGGCTTAGCAGAACACGCTTAGTAGAACACGCTTAGCAGAACACGCTTAGTAGAACACGCTTAGCAGAACACGCTTAGCAGAACACGCTTAGCAGAACACGCTTAGCAAAACACGCTTAGCAAAACACGCTTAGCAGAACACGCTTAGCAAAACACGCTTAGCAGAACACGCTTAGCAGAACACGCTTAGCAAAACACGCTTAGCAGAACACGCTTAGCAAAACACGCTTAGCAGAACACGCTTAGCAGAACACGCTTAGCAGAACACGCTTAGCAGAACACGCTTAGCAGAACACGCTTAGCAAAACACGCTTAGCAGAACACGCTTAGCAGAACACGCTTAGCAGAACACGCTTAGCAGAACACGCTTAGCAGAACACGCTTAGCAGAACACACTCAGCAGAACACGCTTAGCACACTTAACAGAACACGCTTAGCAGAACACGCTTAGCAGAACACGCTTAGCAGAACATGCTTAACAGAACACACTTAGCAAAACACGCTTAGCACACGTTTAACACACTTAGCAAAACACGCTTAGCAGAACACGCTTAGCAGAACACGCTTAGCAGAACACGCTTAGCAGAACACGCTTAACAGAACAGGCTTAGCAGAACATGCTTAGCAGAACACACTAAGCAGAACATGCTTAGCAGAACTCGCTTAGCAAAACACGCTTAGCACACGCTTAGCAGAACACACT